TGCCAATGGGACACAGTTGATTGCTGCCTGGTCTTGAATTTTAAGCTCTTTGGCTGCCAGAGAACGGTTAACACTTTGTAAGTTGGGCCATGAGAGGCATTTTTTGTTGTTTGTTTGTTTGTCTGCTTCAAGGATCCAAAGTTCTTGGTGAGTCAAAGACAGTTATTGTCTATACTAGATAACAACAGTGATTGGATTGTCTCCCACTGTTACCTTCCCTGATCCCAAAATGTTTGGGGAGCCATCACCACCTCTTCCTGCTGAGCATCTGACTGCTTTGACTTCTATATCCCCAAGGTTAGGAAACCTACAATACAATAATTTAAAATATCTTATTTTATTCTGCAAGAATCACCTGGGATTCAGGTTCACAGGCAGAGGATTAGGCCTTGATCACCTCCTCTTCTCCCTGTGTAAATTCATGATACATGAACAGCACTTTAATGTATATGGACTTTTATTAATTTTTTCCCTTGGAAAATAAACATAATGGGTTTTCTCTATAGGAAAATGATTTTTAGAGAATTTTCTATTTAGGTTTTTGCACAGGTTTACTATTTTGACTATCGTGTACAAGATCAAAATAATTGAGAAAATGTTTTATGAGGTGTAGCCTTAGGTGCCAGGGTGGCAACCAAGATTAGTCATTATGATATAACTAGAGGCCCGTTGCACAAAGATTTGTGCAATAGGCCTTCCTTCCCCTGGCTGCCAGCACCAGTTTTCCTCCAGCAGCCAGGACCCAGGCCTTTTGTCCGGCCACAGCAGCGAGGCTTGGCTTCTCCACTGTGGCTGCAGCAGTGAGGCGTGGCTTCTCTGCTCCAGCCGCAGCAAGACTTGGCTTCTCCGCTCTGGCTGTAGTGGAGAAGCCAAGCCTCTTCAGTCTTCAGTTGTCTTCAGTCTTCGCTCCGCGCCTGCGTATGCAAATCAACCACCATCTTTGTTGGGTTAATTTGCATACTCATCCTGATTGGCTGGTGGGCATAGTGGAGTGACACCAATTTGCATGTTTCTCTTTTATTCGTGTAGATAATAGGGGGATAGAAAAAAACAAAATGTCTTAATGTAAAGGGAGAATAAGGGCAACACGAAATATGTTATTCTATTTATATTCTGACTATGCTTAACAGAACCTATTTTTGCCATGGTTACCTCTGAGTTTCTGAGAATCATATCTAATGGAATCTTATTTTTCTTTTCTTTTGCTTGCTCTCTTGCAGTAATTGACAAAGAGGACACTCTTTATCTTGACATTCTTTTTCCTCTTCCTTCTCATGCCCTCAGTTTCTTTTGGCTCCCTTCCTCTCTGCCTGTTCCCTCCTGTTGCTCTTTAATAGATGTATTTCTCTCCACCCACATCTTAAATGATGCTATTTCTGAGGATGGGAGCCTAGGCTTTCCTTTCCTTCTATTGCATTGCTTTCCTCAGGTGTTCTTGTTTAGGTCCATTCTTTCATCAGCTGTTTTCTCATGATGAACCCACATGTCTATTTCTATCCAGCATATTTCCCTGTGCTCTAGAATTATATATAAAACTGCCCTTCCAGCATCCATTGTGCTCTTCAGACTCCGTTTCTAAACTTGATGACACTGACCCCTTCTCCCTCACTGAGATGCTTTACCTTCTGTGTTTTTTTCTTCTCATTTTGTGACACAGACTTTGATTCAATAGGCCTGACCGTCGTCTTAATGGTCAAATCTTTCTTCACCCTCATACTTTTTTGCTGTATATTGTTAATGCTATTTAATTAAACATCCTATTTTTAAAATATATTTTTATTTATTTCAGAGAGAGAAAGGCAGAGGGAGAAACATCAATGATGAGAGAGAATCATTGATTGGCTGCCTCCCAAAACCCGGGCATGTGCCCTGACCAGGAATCAAAACCTGATGTCTCTGTTCATGGGTCAACACTCGGCCACTGAGCAACACCTGCAGGTCTGAAGCATCCCATTTGGTCCCATGGTCACCCTCTCTGTCCCCATTGCCACTGACTGACTTCTGGCCTCCATTACTCACCTGAACCCTTAGCAATTCTGATCCATCTCTGGTCCTCCCTCTATAAATTGGTGATGCTGGATTATTCCAAATCCAAACCTATTTCTACTCCTACTACTACTTATAATAATAATTGTCATAATAAACAAGTCTCTAAAAAATATTTTAAGTGTTACCATTAATTCCTTATGACTTGGATGCATGTATCATCGTATCATTCACACCATGAAACTAATTGCTGAGTAGTGTTTTTTGTTTGTTTGGGGCTTTAAATTTAGTTTATTTTAAGACAGTATTCTTCAAACTGTTGTGATGACAAAAAATTTATATTGTCTTACGTTATTCCTCATTCATCTCTGTATTTATTCATGTTGTGTTTGCTGCTCCAAGTATTCTTTTAAAACATATATTTTATTTTATTTTTTCCATCACCATTTATCCCTTCTATGCTGTCTTCTACCTCCACCTCCCCCTTCAACCCACAATAACCACACTGTTGTTTAGTTTATGTTTATGAGTTCCCTCCCTCTTTTTTTCTTTTTTGCTCAACCTCTCCACCGCCTCCCTACTCCCCTTCACTAGAGCTAACTGCCTGTTCTCTCTGAGTCTGTCTCTATTTTGTTTGGTATTCTTAATTGTTGAGTGAGGACACTGAATACATTGAACTTGGTAATTTTTTTCTCCCATCCTTGGAAGATATTCCCAAAAGCTCCAGGCCAGGAGAAGTTTGCAGAAGTTCATCTGAGATCAAGTCTTCCATTTTGCTACTTTTCTATGACAGAGTAAGCAGATTGGGCAGCCAAGTAAATGAAACATAATGGTGAATGAGAATAGCTTTTCCAACCATATTTCTTCCTTTCTCTGGTTTTGTTAAATTTGATTAAAGCTAAGTTTTTCTTTTGTGGAGTAATGAGCATACAGGCATGAATACACCTTTGAAATGATCAAAATTCAATTAAAGTTAAAACACAAACTTACTTTGTTAAAGCTCAACAAACTTTAAAACTTGTTTTACTACTTTTTATTAAACTTCAGATGCAAGAAGCATAGTTATACCTTTAACAACACCGGGCTATGATATATATTTGTCTTAAACATACCAACGTGTTGGGAAGAAAAAGTGTCTAAAAAAGATGTTAATTTTCCAGTCTGTACCAAATGGCTTTCCTGGGACAATAAATAGGTTTTGCTTGACATGTTTATTTACATACTATTTAATATACCTTGCACTGAAAGGAGACAAATAATAACTTGAACCAATGCCAGATTACTTTGCCCCATGCAGATAAGAGGATAAATTCAAGATCTCTACCTCTAATACACAATGACATTAGTATATCACTAATGAATGAGAATCAAATTTTTTTGCCTAACCTTCTTTCTGTTGTTCATTTAAGGGAATATTGTTCTTGTTTTCTCCTTTTGAAGTGAATGAACAACAAATGTGATAAAATTCTGGAATTCATTGCACCATAGCCTTCTCTCTTTCACAGGTTGACAAATAATAAATTTATCAGAATATAATTATGGAAGATATTCACCCCCCTTTTTATATGACCTTATTTTGGAAGAGTTTTTCTAGGTTAGTGATCTTTTAGAATTCATCCTCCTTCTGTGGTAAAAGATCAGTACATTATTTGTTTTATTTTTTTTTCCATAAAATTGTGTTCCTAGCTATAAGATTGCTCTTATATGTCAAAGCAAAATGATCTGAGTAGACACTTAAATTTGACATAATTTGGGACTTTGTGGAGGTAAATTTTAGATTTTTAAAATTCTTTGTTGGCAGCAATTTCAGGATTGGGTGAGATATCTGTATCATAGAAAAAATAGTATTACAATGAGATATTTTATAAATGACCACTGTTAAATTATCATCTCTGAGAAGCTTTGCTTTTCAATGAATATAGTAATGAAAGGGGGTTCTGGATTTCTACTGCTTTAAAAATTGTGAAGGGTGGGCAGTGATAACAATGATCAAAGCAGCCCTGGTATCCGCCACATTGAACTCATTATATGTAGACTGGCTAGAAACTGAATTGGCTAACTGGAGCTCAATAAGGTCAACATAGGTAATGCATCCTCTACTACCACAGTAATTCTCTCTGCCAATCAACCATCTTTGTGTGAACAAACAGGTTTATTAGTACTTTATGGTCCTGTATCTTCCTCAAGAGATGAATATTCATAGAAAGATCAACTGTAAAGTTAGAGAAAGAGACAAAGTGGAGCTAGCTACTCCTTTCTGTAAACCCTAGCTGTTCCTTTATGTCTGATAACTCGGTATGAATATTTACAAGGCAGAATGCATTTCTCAGTCAGTCTGCACATATCTGTGGTTTCCTTTGCTTAACACTTGAGACATTTGGTCAAAATCTTATTCAATTCAAATAACCACAATGGTGCCATCTTCACTGATATGTCAGGTTGATGTAGACAAATCACAGCATTACTCCCATTGTGACTATTTGTGTCAGCACCCAAATATTAATTCAGTGACTCCTTTTTCTCCAGAAAACTAGGCGACCTTTAAGGAATTTGGGTAAGCCCATAGGAAACCTTTCTTAGGATTAAAATGAAGCAAGTATAGAATTAGAATTCTGACAAACAATATTAGGATTTTTTTGAAGAGTTTCAACTTTATCATGATCTCAATTCACATGAAGTGAAAATAAAAGAGACAAACTAAGCAGAATGCAACCCATTGAAAGACATTTTAACCCCAAAACTGAGGCTCATTTTCAAGTGGTGACCTCATCTGAACTTGGCAGTTTTCCCTTGCCACTTAATGGCTGGGCAGAATCTTGGCAGCTGCCTTGCCTCACAACGGTGAGCTGTCAAGGTAAGTAAAAGTAGGCATGAAACCTGGTAACTTCAGTCCATTACAGGAACAGACTGCAATTATGTAGTGAGCAGAGAGTTCACGGCATTAATTCAAGAGGTCCAACCTAAATGATCAGAGCCTCTCCGTGATGTGGAGAAATTCTCTTGTTCCTAAATAGGCTTCTGAGACCCTCTTTATCCAAAACGACAGTGATCTCATCTTGGGTTTCTCAGAGTGCATCTCCATTTCAGCTGACAGACAGCCACAAAAGAAGCTCCATCTCCATAGCAATCAAGGTAATCACGCCTGGCTTCTCCCTCTTCTCAGAGCCACAGGTCAGCATTTTGCTATGTGCATAACTGACAAGTGCAGGTACTACACTGGGGAAATTAACACTGTGTGATAGACCCAGGAGAATTTCAGAAAAGCTCCCTTTCTAGTGGCATTGTCTAGCACATGCAACACCAAATGCAAAATTTCTTAAAGGGATACAAACACAGAATGAACTTGCACAATACTGACATTTGGCTGCCTGATGAAAGTTTTTGGTACTGTCCAAACATAACAGTTGGGCCTATTTTTAAAAACATTTCTTCATGTATTTAGTTGTACATTTAAAAACACCTACTCCCAGATATCTGTCTTAACATACAGTTACATCTTATACCTCTATGGATGCTTTGGTCCAGTAATCAACTACAAGGCTCAGTTGATCAGCTACAGTTAGCTTGAAGCTTTGTAGGGGTATTTGAAATGCTTTATGCTCCTGGCTTTGCTGACCTTTAGTAACATAAGGCTGGTGTTCTTAAATTACCCATCCACATGTGTCCCGTTCCTGCTATCCGACCACATCGGCATCCCACACAAGTTATTTATTTGTTTTATAGGGAAATTTGCTATTTTTTAGACTTTTGCTTTAAACTATTTAATGAAAAACAGGAAAATATTTATAAAATTTTAGAGTCATGGGGGGATTTTCTGTATATAAGATAAGCTATTAATTACTGCTACTTGGTTCCTCTCAAGTAGCAGTAGCTGGTAGAGCACAAAGATAGATTGATATTATCTAATTTTTTTTAGGAATTATTATGTAACAGCCTTTTTCTATTTTTGTATTTGTATGCAAAATCTAGTTCATTTATCCAATGATTCAGACCATAACACAATGCAATGTATTTTTCAAATCTTTCTTTTTAAGTACCAAGAAGTTCAAGTCTATTCCTGCAGTTCATGAAGGGCCCTAAACAAACTAGTTTCAAGTTTTTAAAGATTAGTTATGAATAATGAAGAAAAATAATGATCTTTTTTATGTTATGAGAAAGTCTGTTGAAAGTCACCTTTTTAGCTTTGTAGAACATAAAAATCAATACTTGATTATATTTTTGCCTGCAAAGTTTTCTTGCAACATGTTCACAAAATTATTATTAAAATTTGTATTTTATTTTTACAAATAGTTGTTTGGGTGTTATAGATTCAAAACTGTGAAAAGAGTGTGCTGTTTATTAGCAACTTTTCTTGTTAAATTGACTCTACATTTCAAAGTTATTATTTGCTTTCACACATAGTAGGACTAAAATATTGTAAGGATGAGATTCAAATGCCTATGGAAGTAATTCCTAATTGTTAGAGCATTGAGTTGTAAAGAAATAGCAATTCACATGAAAATATATAAGTAGATCTAAGTTTTATTCTAAAAAAGTTTTCATTGTCAATAATAGTTTGAAAGAAGCAATAAGTCCAAAGATTAAATTTTTGATACACACATAGGGAAATACATCATTTTTGTGATGTATTCTATCATGTTTTTATGTCTTCATATAATCTTCCATTTATTACCCAACTCAGTTGATTGCAGACATTATGTGCCAAACGAGGGGTTAATGAAGTCCTTAATTATGGGACTTCTAAATAAGAATTATTACAGAGATATACCAGTCATCCATTTAGAATAATATATAAATAATTCAAATATTTCAATTAAAAAACAAAGTAATTTTCTATTGTTTATGCTAAGAATTAGGCAAAAATTGATAAAAGAATTTTTTCTTAAAATTTTAGCATTATCTGTGTTCCATGTCATACCAGATGTCAGCCAGGAATAAGACCTTTTAGATTTTATCTCTATCTCTATTGAAATGACTCAAAATATTTTAAGTGATTCCTCCAATTTTTGATTGGGAGACTTTAAGCATTTCTCATTTGACTCTTTGCTCATCTGATGTTCTAACTCAGACTTTCTGTGGGGATGTTTGAATAAAAATACATCGAAGCCAATAAGGGATCATAAAGGCACTTTGCTGACACCACCACTCCAAACACTATTTTTAATCAACTTCACAAAAAGTGAAGACCAATGAAGTCATATCAATGTACTTCAAATGAAAAAAGAAAGTCTCAAAATCATGGTCTCCATAACTGAACTTTTAATAGAAGGGTTTCATTTTACTTCCAGCCACTGGGTTTGCCAACCCCTCTCTCCACCACCCCCACCTCCCAATAAAGTAATTAACAGGGCACTGATGCACAGAAAAGACGTTTCAGAGAGTTAATTCAGTGATGAGTAGACAATAAATCAAGATAGGCAAAACAAACTCACTTTGGAGTCACTTATTTGATTTTTTTTAAAAGCCAGAAATCTATAAAATAAGGCATGTTCAAGAAGAGGTAGAGAAAATGAGATTCAGAGAATTTAAGTAATTTACCCAGAAGCACCCAGCTAGTTGATGAAAGAGCAACACTTGGAATCCGTGTGCTTTCTACCACAATATGCTGGCTTTTTATGGAAATTAAACTGCTTTCTATAACTACTTGTAAGATGTTAGACATTTTCATAGTCCAACCAGACTTCTATAACAAAATATCATAGACTGGGTGGCTGATAAACAGCAGACATTAATTTCTCTCCGTTCTGGGGCTGGGAAGTCCATAATGAAAGTGGAGACGGATTCAGTATCTGGTGAGGGCTCACCCACTTCCCACTTCATAGAGGCTGTCATCTTGTTGTCCTCCCATGGTGAAGGGGGCAAGGAAGGTTCTCTGGGTCCCATTTATAAGGACATTTATGCAATTCACGACTTTACCACCCTCATGACTTACCACCTCCCAAAGCCTGCATCTCCTAATATCATCACATTGGAAATTAGGGTTTCAACACAGGAATTTTAGTGCACATAAATAATCAGTCTATAGCAGCAGTTCTCAACCTGTGGGTCGCGACCCCTTTGGGGGTCGAACAACCCTTTCACAGGGGTCGCCTAAGACCATCGGAAAACACATATATAATTACATATTGTTTTTGTGATTAATCACTATGCTTTAATTATGTTCAATTGGTAACAATGAAATTGGGGGTCACCACAACATGAGGAACTGTATTAAAGGGTCGTGGCATTAGGAAGGTGGAGAACCACTGGTCTTTAGCAACATTCTAGTTTTAGGTAGAGCCAGTTCAATGAGAAAAGGAAAACGCAAACAAAACAAGCATTGCAGTCATGAAAGGAAGCACACAAGTTACTGTTGCTGGGAGGAATGTGCAAGTTAAATGGTTCTTATGAATAATACAACCAGTTAGAGAGGATTAGGGTCTAGAGTTGTATCACCAGCATGAATAGAGAAGGCGAGATTTTCAATGACCTCTGTACATAAAGCCAAGAACCCTGATGAGGTACCGCTTCCTCTTTGAAATGGGGATTAGTTCAAAGTGCCCCTTAGCCCAGAGAAGCAATGTTACCAACGCAAAACTGAATGCCATGCAGCTGCCAAGCTCTGACAGGGCGTCTAGTTTCACATGGCATAGAGTGCAATGGAATTCCTCATGAGAAACAGAAAGCTAGTTGAGATTTTTTAAAAAAACTTACAATCCCAACAGAAACAAATGCTACAAATCAGACACGCCTGATTCAAAGGGAGAAATATATACATTATAAAATCATCATAAAAAATTATAACTACTACCAGGAAACAAATGGGTGTGAGTGTGAGGTAGCTAATATAAAACCCAGAGGGATATACTCTAAAAATTAAAGTTCTGAGAGTTTATATCAAGTGCATTTGCCATGATCAAAGAGAAAGGATAGCATCAGTAAATTTAAACTTTTTAAACAGAACAAGACTTTATTAAAAATAAATTTTTCTAGTTTTAAAGAAAGCATCAGATTTTTTAATATTAGATTACATAAAGCTGAGTATAGCATTAGTGGGATTAATTGGAATATAAATATGATGAAATCACTGACTATAGATCAGTGAAGAAAAGGAATAAAAATAAGAATTTGAAAAATGTGGAGTGAAAGCAAAGCTCCAGCCTTTCTCTATGAAAATGTATAAAAGCAGGAAATTGAGAAAATGGTAATGATGCAATATTCTAAGATAATTTGTTTAAATTTCCCCCAAATTGAAGAAAGACATTGAATGCACAATTGAAGGTTTATGCTAAGCTCCATGCAGAAAAAAATCAAACCCAATTTCCACCCAGACCCACTGTGGTGCAGAGGCTAAGCATCAAAGAAAAAGGGACACCCAGACCACTTGAAAAAGCACAGAATGGTAGGCTTTCTTTAGCATCCTGAATATCAGGAGACAGTGCAATCATTCTGAGAACATTACAATTTCAAACATAAAAGGCTGAGTTTGCTGCTCTCAGAGGTTCACTAAAAATTCTCCCAACATATGCATGTCAGCATGTCGATACATTTAAAATATAAACCCATGAAACTATCACCACAATCTATGTCATAAACATGTAACACCACCACCAAAACTTCTACCTGAACTATTTATTTGTTTGTTTATTATTTTATGACTAGAGGTCTGGTGCACGAATTCGTGCACGAGTTTGGTCCCTCGAACGGGCTGGCGATCAGGGTCAATCAGGGCCACGGGAGGTTGGCTGGCCGCCTGGGGGAGGTGCCACATGAGGTTGGCTGTGGGAGCACACTGACCACCAGGGGGCAGCTCCTGCATTGAGTATCTGCTCCCTGGTGGTCAGTGCACATCATAGCTACTGGTCAACCAGCCGTTCAATTGTTTGGTTACTTAGGATTTTATGTATATAGATAAGAACACAACATGGGATCTATTCTCTTAGAAAAATTTTAGGTTTACAATATAATAACATTTACTAGAGGCACTATGCTGTACAGAAGATCAATAGGATTTATTCCTCTTGTACAATCGCAACTTTGTACCTGTCACTCATTCCTCATTTTCCTCTTCCCCAGTCCCTGGCAACCACTCTTCTACTCTCTGCTTCTATGAGTTTGATTAATTTAAATTCTTCATATAAGTGGTATC